ATAATCACCACCTAAGGATTTCTTGAGTAGTTCTTACTGGGTTTAAAATCAGGATACCAGGCAATATATATATAATAAAAGAGTAAAATGTAAAAGTAGCCAAAATACCTTTATTAACACAGTAGTAAAACAAATTAAAAGTCCACAATTATATCAAAGTAACTCCCAAAAATAAAATGTAACCAATAGAGACAAATACACCAATTATCTTATTTTTGCTTGACAATAAACAGTGCCTCACCATAAATGATAATCATTACAAAGAAGTTTAAGATGAAAAAGAGGACAACATTATGCGTAAAGTACTGCTTATAAACTAACCTTGTATACTAGCAATGAAACATGATTAAAAATGGACAAGAAAACCTTATCAAAGTCTCCCTTTAAAATAATCAACAAAAGTACTGCAGAATATCTTATATATGGTAGTTTATTTTAATAGGGCCCTTGGAACCATAAATCTGCAAGGTCCATCTATAAGCAATAATATATAAGAAATAAAAAAAGTCAGTATAATTGTATTAACGCTTTTATTCTCTCTCTATCTCTCTACCTCCCCCCCTCCCACTCCCCCCCGAGCTTTTGGAACCAATCAGCACTAGAAGAATGCATATCACCAAAACGCGTTTGCTGTATTTGGTTTTTCTATATTTGTTTTTATATTTGATTTATTTACTCCTGGTTACTAATTATAGCGGTGAGTGGAACTCCAACTTTTGTTTCCATATTCTATTTATATGCTGGGTTCCACCCCCATAGTACCTTAAGCTGTTTAATATTATATTTTCAATAAATCTTTTTTAACCTATTTGAAGTCCCATCATCATCGTCTACCACTGACAGTGGAATCATTAGCTTGTATTGGCACCCCTCAGCCCGCTATATAGAGCCTGGAATGGCTCTAGAAAATGTGAGTGGTAGTCCTACGTCTGTTCACAGTTTTCTGTTATATATACAGCTAACACTATGTTGTGTTTTATGTTTATATTTTAGGTGCCATACTATTGTACTTCATTATATGGTGGTTTTATTCATTTTTTATATTCTCACTGGGTTTGGTGTGCATACTGATATATTGTATATTTTGGTTTCTTTGTTTATTGTTTTTGGGAAACACAACTATATCAGTCACACTGCCTGCTAATTATTGCAGCTACGATAAGGATTTTTGTTTTAAATTGTGAAGCGCCTACACACTATCTGTTTATACTATTTTGGAACCATCATGTCTGATCTTACAAAAATGACAGGAACTCCCATCCTTCTTTGGTGAACAAATTGTAAAACCTTTTCCATCATAGCGAAAAAGAGGTTTCACAGTGAATCCCCATCTGTATTTTATTTCCTTAGCTCTCAATTCTTCTTTAATAAATGTAAATTCCCTTCTCCTTTTCAAGGTAACCAATGCTAAGTCTTGAAAAAATTTTAAACTTTGAAACAACGTATCTTTAACTTGAGCTGTTCCTGGATATGGGGAAAAAAAAGGAAAACTGTCCAGAACATCCTTTATTATATTCAATGGAGTCTATGACATCTGTCTATAATCAATTTGCAGTCTTTCAAATTCAGCAAAACCGACTAAATTATACTTTGTACATGTGTTAATAAGTAATACGGACTAACCTTTTCAGGAATTCCCTGAATAGGAATATTGTTCATTCAGCTTCTATTCTCCATTTCGATGTTTCTCTCATTCACAATTTTAAGTTGCAAATCAAAAGCGGTCGCAATTTTTCATCAAATTCGTCTGTCTCTGCCATTTGCTCGTTATGAGCCAATTTGATTTTTCCGATGCAAACTTCTAATTCAGTTACATCCTTGCGACCGGCAGCAATTTCTTTGAGCAGGTCAGTCTGGAGAGATTCATGAAGTGAATTCAGCATACGCTCCATCAAGGCTGGTGTTAGCTTGGACTCCATTTAAGTCTCTGAATCTGCTGAAGAAGTGGCTGCTTGAGACTGGTTCCCCTTCTTCGATTATACGGCCATGTGAAGGTCTTCCCTCATCCGCAATCACCAATTCAGAGAGCCAAATTAACTTTTGCATTTTAATGTTGATTTGTGATATTGAATCTCCTGAAGCTGCAGCCTAATTGGACCAAGGTGTTTCTATGTCCTCCATTACACGGCCATGAGGTGACTCGCTTTTCTCCACAAATGTATACTCAAGTTTAAAAAATCTTTTTAGATTTCAGCATGATTTATAAGCATATATATGCCAGATTCAAGTCAAAAAGCTTTTTTGCTCAGATCTATGCAGAGCTCTAATGTAAAGTGGCCACCTTGGCTGCCAGCCAGACCACGTCCCCTTTCATATCAATCTACACTCAAGTTTTGAAAACTTTGCAAATGTATTTTTAAAAGAAAAAAAAAAGAAAGAAAGAAAACATTGACCTGCATATTCAAACCTTTTGCTATAAAATTTAGATCAGATCTGGATCATCTTTAACATGTTTCTACACTTTGGAGTCCACAAGTGAACAATAGAGAGGAAAGAAGGAGGATCAGTAAAAATCTTTATTTACATAATATATATATATATATATATATATATATATTAGAGCTACTTCTCCTCTATTTTTCTCTCTATTGGTCAATGTTCATTTGATCTGTTGATATAATAAACATTTAGTGTCTATGTCTATCAATCATCTTTTCATCTGTGAACGAAATTGCTAAAAAAAATGTGCTTACCCATGTACTGGAAAATATATACAATATATTTATATTTTGCAGTACATGTAAGTTATTTGGCTGAGCTAAACTGAATATTTTACAGTCCAAATTTTTTTTCTGTTATGCACAAGACTACTTGGCAATTAAAAATAATTGAAGTGTAGGATACAAGACCACATATATAACACTGTGCTCTAATCTAACAATTACATTTAATGGCAATGCATTCTGTTAACAATTATTGTCCTAGTTACTGGTATGAATTTTAGTATGTTTCATTTTTATATTATGATTTCTTCTTAGCAATCACTAGTGTTAGCTATATATTCAAAGCACATATTTATATTTTCAGGTGAAGAAATTGTTTCAAAGCAACTCGAGTCCCTATATGGAGATATTGATGCACTGGAATTTTACCCTGGACTTCTCCTTGAGAAGACACATCCAAAGTCCATATTTGGAGAAAGTATGATTGAAATTGGAGCGCCATTTTCACTTAAAGGACTTATGGGAAATCCAATTTGTTCTCCAGAATACTGGAAGCCAAGCACATTTGGTGGGGAAACTGGATTTAACATTGTAAAAACCGCCTCAATTCAGAAGTTAGTTTGTCTTAACGTAAAGCGATGTCCATTTGTGTCTTTTCACATACCAGATTCTAAAAGTCAAGACACTACATCTCCAAGTTCTAAACCTGAACTTTAGTTTATTTTAGCTTGAATTGATGGTAAAGGAAGAAAGGTAATAATTTATAATGTCAATGCCTCACTCATCCTAAACTATTGTGCCATTTTGTATAACTCTACTTGTATTTGGAGGATCCCCCTGATTTATGTACATTTTTATGCAGTTACATTGTTTTATAGGCTAAAATGAGACTTGCGTCCATCAAGTTACGCCTTTCTCGCACATGTTGATCCACAGGAAGTGACTTTTGAAGCAACTGTTTTGAAGCATTTTCTAATTTTGCAACAAGTTAGGAAAAAAATCCTTCTTGACACCTGAATGGCAGTCAGATTCCTCCTTGGATCAAGAAGCTGTTACTCCACCTATTGAAATATTGTATCCCTGAATATTATGTTTTTGCAAGTATTCATCCAGTTGCTGTTTAAAAATCTGTACAGACTCTGATACAACCACCTCTTAAGGCATAAAATTCCACATCCTTATTGCTGTTAGAGTAAAAAAAAAGTTTCCTTTACCTTAGACTAAATCTCATTTCTTCCAGTATAAATGGGTAACTTTGTGTCCTATGTATAGTCCTGTTTATGAATATATTTCCAGACATTCATTTGTATTATCCCTGAATATATTTAAATAATCCTTTCATATATCCCTTCTGTCATGTTTCCAAACTAAACATATTTAAATTTGTTAACCTTTCTTCATAACTAAAATGTTTCATTCCTTTTATTAATTTTGTGCTCACCTCTCCACTTTTGCCATAATATCCTTCTTTAGAACAAGGTGTAGTCTTGCCAGTGATTCCCAGGAATGAATGTTCCTTTTCGTGCAAGACAATACCTTACTGCTGATTAACATTGCACATTGTTGCCTTGTTTGTTGTCTCAATTTGCAAATCCTCCTCATGTGTTGCAGCCCCTAATTCACTGCCATTTAGGGTGTAAGTTGCTTATGCATTCTTTACCTTGAAGTGCATAACTTTTCATTGATCTACAGTAAATGTAAAATATAGAGAGAGTGTGGGCGCACCATCAAAATTATAGAATGATCAGATCAGTATAATCCGTATAAAGTACATATTTTAATGAGACAAATACATAAAAAGAACCCAGGCCACTCCAAAAGATATGTTTAAAACATGAAAAGCAACACTGATACAATTAGTAACATAAAAGGTAGTGATTCTGTTTAAACAACTACCACCCAAATTGTTACTAAGTAAAAAACACTTTCAAAGAGGCATGAAAAATCAATTTATACAACATAAAGTGGCAAAGTGTGTTGACCTAACTGCAGGTCAAAGGAGACTTGAAAAAAAATCAAGTATATCAACAATACTATGTACTGTATGATGTGCAAAAAAAACTTGCTAAAAAAAAACAATATCTAATACAAGAAATAAACACAGCAATGATAATACATAAAATCCAGAATGGGCAAAAGGATAAATAAAATACACCAGTTAAGGTACTTATCAATGGAGGGGCCCCTCCACGAGTCCTGGACCCAATATGTGCAGGAGATTAATAGATGATCCTGAGATGCCCAGCGATCTCAACCCCAGATGATTCTGGTAGAATGGCACAAAAGCTCACAGTTAACACATGTGGTGAGCTGTGCCGATCAACGGACCCCCACTAACTTCTGACCAGGGGAGCGATGGGGGAGCACAACCAGCTGGCAGCATGTAGAAAAAGCCATGGCTAGTAACTTAAAAAGGCCTAAGTGAAAGGAGCAGCGTAACAAAATAAGACGTGGACCGATGAATCTACACGTTCCGTCCATAAGTCAGACTTTTTCACGACAACGTTCTCGTTTGTGAATTAGCCTTATATACCCCCAGGTCAAGGGTACATAAGGGAACTAAGTCAATTAGATGAATAAAAAGCACAAATTAAATTTGTAAAAAGGGATATCTAAAATACATAAAACAAAATTATTTAATTCAAGATCTGAGTATGAATTCCAAACTTGAAAATACAATAAAATAATAAAATATATAGGACTTATCCAATAAATAAAGAATACTAAAACACTACTATCATAGCTGATATGTGTATGTAGAAGGAGATAAAAGAATAGACATAAATAGAAGCACAAGTAGTAAGGGCTGGTCAAAATAGATATAATAATCAGGTAACAGGGAAGAATATGGATAAGCATTCTATCAATACCATATTTCAGTGCCATATATATTATGAATATGCAAGTGTGCATAGTATATATGCAAATACAAATCTAATAGTAAAATCATAAATAACTTTGTTCATAGATGCAATTGATCCAATTTTTCATTGAGCCCATGGGGGCTTAAGGTATTTAATTTATAAATCCATTTAGACTCAGCACCTATAAGGGCTCTTTTGCATTTAGCAACATCAATCATTTTTGGTATTAATTCAATACCCATAACAGCTCAAAGGGATTACTATTGTGTACAGATGAAAAGTGTTGTGCCACCGAAGATTTTTTATCTTTATGTAAAATGGCATATCTGTTTTCCCAAAACCTGACTTTCAAAGCACTTGTAGTTCGGCCAACATATCGCAAGCCACAGTAGCAGGTGAGAAGGTAGACAACAAGAGAGGCGTTACAAGTAATCCTATCATTAATGGGAAATGAATTTCCTCCCATTATAGACCAAAAGTGAGTAGTTTTATGACACATATGTACATGTGAGACATCTATGGCTCCCACATCTAAAATTCCCTGCTAGACGTTCCTTCTTAGGCCCAAAAGTGCCCTCAGGGCTATATTTGGAAGGAGCCAAGATGTTTTTCAGATTTTTGCTCTTTCTAAAAGTGACCCTTGGTTTGTCAGGAATACTAAAGTTAAGCCAAGGGTCTAGCTTTAAAATAGGCAAGTGTTTATATAGAATTCCTATGATCTCGTCAAATGACTATGTCTTAGACTAAATCTCAGTTTTTCCAGTAAAAATTAATTACTTTTTGTCCTATGTATAGTCCTGTTTATGAATAGATTTCCAGATATTCGTTTGTATTGGCCCTGAATATATTTAAATAATGCTGTCATATCCTTTCTGAGCCATCATTTTTCCAAACTAAACATATTTATATTTGTTAACTTTTCTTTAGCTCACCTCTTGTCATGGCTGCTAGTGTGGTCCAACATGCAGAAACTATGTAAACATATACATACAAAAGGAAAGGAAATAAAAGGACAGAGTGTAAACCGGACCTTAGAATGACTAATACGCTAGAGATAGAGAATGGTCAAAGGGAAAGCTGAGGTCAAGGAAGCCAGAAATGCTCAGATACCGTTTAAACAAGCCAAGTCAGGGGAACCAGAATTTGGAATAACCAGGGAAAAGCCAAGATCAGGATACCAGGAAGTAATATTAACAAAGATAAACGCACTCTAGGGAACCAGGAACAGGAAACCACGACAGGGCAAGGTACTGGGGTGATTTATGGATTTAAATATCCCTCTCTAGGCCCTGATTGGTCAGAGGATGACCTCTGACCCCAGAACGTGCGTGTGTGTTGACGTTGTGACATCACGCGCATGTTCGTATAATTTCGGGGGGTGGAGCCATGGATGGACGCGACCTCATGGACGGCGCCATCTTGGATTTCCCCCGAGCGGCGTGGAGGAACTGTTCCCGGCTCGCCGCTGAGCAGGTAAGCTCAGTGAGTTGGTGCGGTCGTGCTGGTCTGGCACGGACGCACATGGCGGCGAGCCGGGGGCCGTGACACCTCTGCACTTTTTTTACTGCCATAACTTCCTTCTTTAGAACAAGGTGTAGTCTTACCAGTGATTCCCAGGAATGAATTGTCTCAATTCGCAAATCCTCCTCATGTGTTGCAGCCCCTCATTCACTGCCATTTAGGGTGTAAGTTGCTTATGCATTCTTTACCTTGAAGTGCATAACTTTGCATTGATCTTCATTAAATGTAGTCTGCCATTTAAGTACCTAGACCTCTTAAATATCTAAACCCCTCTACAGCAAAGTAATACCCTGCTCACATTGTATAAACATACCTAGTTTTGTGTCACCTGCATCAATGAACATGACTTTCAATGCATATTTCAAGACCGTTTATAAATATGTTGAATATAAGTGATCCCAGAACAGACCCCTTAGGGACATCACTTACTACTTTTATCCTGCTTGAAAAATTACCATTAATAACAACATTACATTAAGTAAGGTATAAAGAACTCTGAGGTGTATCACCAAGCATGATCTATTTGTATTCCGAATGTGTCTACTATAGAAAAACTGTAGCCTCTGAGAATTTAAATATATTCTAATCTGGTGCATATGTGCATAATGTGATGACATGGCTGCATTTCCCATTAGCCAGAGTAGGCACCTGCATACAGGTGCTTGTCCTCAATGGGGAACCTGTTTTCTGCAATTTTGATGTGGCTTTTTTGAGTTTAAGTGGGACAGATAAGTGCCAGGAAGATTGACCAGTATCCGCTCTGTTCAGACTACTATGCTTCATAGTTTTTTGAATAGTTAGAGGGTGTAAATCTCAGTGCTATCCTAGCTTCTCCAGTATCTGCAAACAGCCTCTTACAATGAAAGTGCTTTGCAGGATGAGTAGGGACAGCAACGAATGGTGCACACTTTACAAAGGACAGCATTAAATGATGCACACTGTATAACCGATACTGCAGCTCAGCAATCACAGGAGGCTAACTGGATTACAGAAGCTGTAGAAGGGTGAGTAATTTGCAAATAACCCTTCAAACGCCACATGCCCTAAACACCTTTACTTCTAACCCTATGTAAAATGCAATCCCCCTCCCAAAACCTAAACAAACCAATTCTGTTTTCTTACAAATGTAAGCACTCCAAACTTAAACTAGAAGAAAATTCTTTACCTTAATCCTAGGTTTAACTTTAAAAAATTAAACACCCCATGTATCCAATGCTAAAATTAACCTTACGCTAACCCTCAATCTAACAATAATAAACATATATTCTACCACAACTGTAACCCCTCTCTAGCTTTTTACATTTTTAACACTATACAATCTAACTCTGAAATGAACCCCTCTCTTACTTTTAACCACCCTTTACTTTAACCACTTCTAATATTATCTTTAACCCTCCATGCATTTTGAGCGCTGCATAGACCCACTATACTTAGACTCAAACACAATACATTGCAAGCAGGAATATGCACTTACATATAGAGATGCAGTTGTCAAATATGATAATGTAGAATTTAGATGGTTGTATGCTTGCAACCCCCAGTAAATACATTTATTAAACTCGTTTTATTTCTTCAGGCACCTTACATGTAAATCTGGCTCTGGCACCATGGTGCATGTATATCAAGGTGGCTGACCCAGCAAAGGCAAACAATGCAGAGAGGTAGAGTAAGCGGATCTGATGGTGTGTCAGCTATATACATTCTGGAACAGTTTGCCTTTAGGGAAACCAGGGAGCAAAATCAGAACAGTTTGTCATGTCCCAACAAAATTGAGAAAACTGGAATGCCTGAATATGTTTTACTGAAATGTTAGGGTCACAAAATTAACAGAAAAATGACAATTTCTATGTGTAAACAGCAAACATTAAAATGTAAATTTTATGTAAAGGTTTATGGTATAAATGTAAATGCACTAGGAATATGTAAAAGAAGAGTGCAAGAAAATATAGTAGAGTATGTCCAGTATTGGTGAGTAGAAAACAATGAAGAAAGACACTTACAGAGTGTAGTGCTAAAGGTAGCTCTACTTTGATGTGCATGTGCGGTATGAACCCCACCTGAGGATATCAGGTTTCTTCTTTTAAAGTGCTCAGTGCATAATGACTTCAGCCAAGTTTAATGCAGCCTGAGGTGATATACACCCCATTCAAGGGTCTTCTAAGCTGGTGCATGGTCTTTGCCTGTATTTGCTGAGGAAAAAAGGTTTTGCTCAGCACACAAGGCTCAGGTGGTATGTTTCCCAATAAATGAACGAGTGGCCAGGCTCCAAAAGAAAAGGGTAAGTTCAAGAATTTATTATAAGAAACAACTTTACTTAACAGACATCTATGTAAAAAGAAATAAAATAGTAGAACAATCCGTAAATAACACTAATGTGTTTAACCTGCAAAGAGGCTTATTCAAAGTGCAAACAGCACACTTAATCTGCTTTTGAATTGTAATGCATGTAAGGGGTAATTTGAATTGATAAACTAATAAAAATGACCTACATGAATTTATGGGGTAATTTGAATAGACTTATATTACTCCTCAAAATGAAACACAGAGCCAGGAAATCAATCCATCAAAATTCCAGTTTTGAAAAGTGACATAGAAACATAGAATGTGACGGCAGATAAGAACCATTTGGCCCATCTAGTCTACCCAATTTTCTAAATACTTTCATAATTCCCTGGCCTTATCTTATAGCTAGGATAGCCTTATGCCTATCCCACGCATGCTTAAATTCCTTTATAGAGATGTCCCGAACAGTTCGCTGGCGAATAGTTCCTGGCGAACATCGCATGTTCGCGTTCGCCACAGCGGGCGAACATACGCGATGTTCGGTCCGCCCCCTATTCCATATCATTGAGTAAACTTTGACAACCCCCCCACCCGCCGCTCGGGGGTGGGGGTTGTCAAAGTTTACTCAATGATATGGGGGGGGACCTACTGTCCTCTCCCCGGCCCCCACCCCTGAGCGGTGGGTGGGGGCCCTAAAAAAAACAATAGGGGGGAACTTCTGTCCCCCCCCTGGCCCCCACCCCTGAGTGGTGGGTGGGGGCCCTAAATACTAAGAAGGGGGGGGACCTAAGGTCCTCCCCCCTGGCCCCCACCCGTGAGCGGCGGGTGGGGGCCCTAAATACTAAAAAGGGGGGGACCTAATGTCCTCCCCCCCGGCCCCCACCCCTGAGCGGTGGGTGGGGGCAAATAAATCACAATGGCGGGGACCTAAGGTCCTCCCCCCCGGCCCCCACCCCTGAGCGGCGGGTGGGGGCCCTAAATACTAAAAAGGGGGGGGACCTAAGGTCCTCCCCCCTGGCCCCCACCCCTGAGCGGCGGGTGGGGGCCCTAAATACTAAAAAGGGGGGACCTAAGGTCCTCCCCTCTGGCCCCCACCCCTGAGCGGCGGGTGGGGGCCCTAAATACTAAAAAGGGGGGGACCTAATGTCCTCCCCCCTGGCCCCCACCCCTGAGCGGTGGGTGGGGGCAAATAAATCACAATGGGGACCCCAAGGT